AACCAAAGGACACAGGCAAAATACAGCATATACTTGACATTTGTAGAGCACGTCCAAATGTTCAAAGCACTTCACATTATTGCAACACTTTACAATAGTCCTTTAAGCCAAGTCAATATTATCTCCCATATTGCAGAATGGGGGGAGGGGGTTTAAAAGCACAAATTTCCCGCCAGACAAAGGAAAAAAGAGGGGGGAGCCGAACGAATAGAAAGCATGTTTTGCTCCTTGTCTACACCCTGCATTAGTAGCTGCTTCTGGATAGGAGTAAGTAGATCTGGAGACCAGGTTGGAAGGAAATAACTTAAAACAGAGTGCAGCAAGGCAAGGCAATTAGAGGTTTCACTCCCGTCCCACATATGCTCTGGTTTGACCCCAACACAAAATATGCTCCAAGGCATATTTGAATTCTACCTCCAATGAATGTAGTCCCATTTATGTCGCATTTGGCAGTCACTGTACTGGATTGTACTATGTGTTTGTTTATTACAGTTATCTTTATCCTGCCTTTACCATACGAAAACCCTTCTAAGGCAGCTTACAAGTAACCAAAAATAAATAAAATAAATGACAATAGCCATATTAAAATATAACAGTTCAGTTCTGTGCCTTTCCCACAAGACAAATGGTGGTAGATGACTTTAGCTGTCGGGGGGAGGGGGAGCAGCTGGAGAGAAAAAGTCCAGGTGGAGCAGCCTCTTTGAGGTGGTGTTCACCACTCGAGTGGTTAAATGGCCTTTTACACGGAAACACTATCACAGGATCCACAAGTGACTTATTTGACCCCACATCCTGTGCAGCCACTGAAAGGTACATACACACACAACTCCCATGGAGAGAGGAATCCCACATAAATCTGGTAGCACAAGTTTTCCCAACCACCTCCCTGTTGGTCTTACACAGACCAAGGAATCCTCACAGTATAACGCTATACACATCTTCTCAGAAGTTATGTCCCAATGCGTTCAATGCGTAATAATAATAAGAATCCCAAGTGAGCTAGTATAGGACTGAAGACTGCATCACTCAAGCTTCAGTGCAACATTCGGAACTGCTCCAGGACTTGTTAACTCAGGTTATCCTCCCGCAAAGTTCAACCTCATTGTACATATACCTAACCTACTTCCTTCTCAATCTACTTCAAGTGTCGGAAGAATTTGCCATTGCCTTCAAAAGCTTGCACCTAATGAATGAGTTATTCTCTAAAGGTGCCACAGAAGTCTTCTCTCTCTCTCTCTCCTATAAACAAGACAGCTCTTTTTTCTGGAATCTGTTTCTTGGATATATATATATATATATATATATATACATATATATATATATATATATATATATATGTATACATACACACACACACATATATATATATACACACACACACACATATATATACACACACACACACATACATATATATATACACACATATACATATATATATATATATATATATATATACACACACACACACACACATATATATATATATATATATATATATATATATATATTAAAAAACAACATTCATTTCTGCAAACTCAAGCCAGGATCTGATCGGAACACCTAACCATTCTTCCTGCCCCTGCCATCATCTCCTGTCACATAGTCAGGATGAAGCTGCTGCTTTCCTTGTTGATGGCCAATCTAGCAGTCACCAGCTCACTCTGCAATAGCTATTTCAGCTCCTGCAGGGCTAATGAGAATAATAATAAAAAATGTTTCAAAGAACTTGTTTGTGTCAGTTAAAGTGAGCAGGTGCAACTTCAAGACTTGCAAGTAGCAAGCCATTATATCTTGGGAAATCCAATAAGTCAAATATGCCTTGCAAACTAATTAGAGCAACCTTAATTGGATCAGAACAAAAGAGAGCAGAATAAGACGAGTTAGCACAGTAAGGGGGTTGAAATCTATAGTCCCCCAACCCCCTCTCTCCCTTCCTGAGTTCAGCTTCCTGCCTCAAGGTTTGTCGGTGAGCACTGCTTATAAATGTGCAGATTTTAAAACTCACCCACAAAGGTCGGTACAGCCCCTTAAAAAACATACTGGCATCGCATCTGGCCTTCAGAGTTCTCATATACCACACTCCTCCCATGTCATTTTTAAGGTTACAGATGAATCTGTGTGTGGGCCTGGAATTGTTTTGGTGAAACATTCCTGCCAAGAAGAATACTTGCTGCTCCGTTCCTTAATTTTCAAATTCATTTTCCACCGTAACACTGTCATGGATATCACCACTCAGCTCGTAAAAAGGATAAACATCCTCTCGCGGTAATTACACCGTCGCCATCAATTCCTTCTTTATTTTTCCAGGCCGCTGTCTAATAGCAACAGCCAGATGATATTCCTTCATCATTTTGCAGTTTTACCTCTCTAGGTGTGTCATTGGCCCAAGCACTTGTCTGAAAAGCAGTTTCTCAGAGAGGCTTCCTCACCTGCAATTAACTGGTTTGGTCTAAGCGTTGAAAACGTTGCATACAATCTGTATCATATCTATCTTTTGTTTTTGCCCCTCAACGCAGCCTAGCCCCACTACTCATTTTGCTAAGCAAGGTTGAAAATCAACCCTTTCCCATAAGCCATAATCTTTTGGCCTCAGCAGCCAGAATGTTTCCTTCACCTAGCCAGGGACAGGGAATCTCAGCCTCCCTTCCAGCTTCTCCACCTGGCCTCAGGGCTTCTTCCAGGCCATGCCTTCAGCCCAGGGCACACCCCTTCCTGGACCTCCTTGAACATTTCTGCCTAGCTGGAGTGTGTCCTTCAGTTCTTGCTTGTCTGGATGTAGATGTGTGAGTGTGTACATAGAAAGTGTGCAAAAAGTACATTTCACAATTGTTTCTTTGTCCAGTTTCTCCTCTGGAAGCCAGGTGGTTGCCCAGAAGGGAATGTCCCCCTAGGCCACACAGACACCATAAATCTAAAGCACTAGGATACCACTTTAAACTGTCTTGGCTTCCCCAAAAGGATTCTGGGAGTTCTAGTTTGTTAAGAGAGCTGTGAGTTGTTAAGAGACCCCATTTCTTCTCACCGAGCTACCATTCCCAGAGTGATTTAACAATCAATCCCCTCTTTCCCAGGGAACTCGTGGGAATTGTAGTCAAATCTGGAGGGCGACAGGTTCCCCACCTCTGCAACAGAATGTTGAGAACTGTTTTAAATCGAGAGATGAACACATTTGTTTTGTTCCATAATGGAACTAGGATATATATTGTTCCTGTTCAGGGTGTATGACATTTTCAGTTGAGAATTCAGGAACATTGGTCAAAGGTCTTCAAAAAAATATGCCAGAAATGTTAGTATAGAGTACGGCCTGTTACCTCTACTTGACTTTCCCTGTAGCATTGTAGCTTCTGCAAAAACCTTTCTGTGGCCCTATGTTAAGTAGAGATAAGCAACTGATGCAATATGTTTTCCTTATCCTAAGCAATCTCTTAAGCAAAGGCATATGCTGTGGACGGAGTCTGCAATGCCTCAGCAACATGAGCAAGTCAAGTGTTCAGCTATATATCACTGCTGGCCACCTGGAATAAGGAATGAAGAAAATAAAGTACATATTTTAAGGGTTTGATGCAAAATCAGTGTGCTGCCATGGCCTATGCTCAATAACCAATGGCTGCACATTTTAATAAACTACTATAGAGCTCACAATGACTAAATGATCCATCTCATCTCAACAAATCTCTACCCATTAAAAAACCATTTAAAAACTGGCTTCTAATAATTACTATTCTTGTTAATGGTCATTTAGTTGATCTCATGTTTTGTACATAAAAGGATCTCTGGTTTCACTATAGATTTTGTCATCGATAGTCACTGTTACTATCAAATCCACAAGGCTCCTACCAGGAAGAAGAACAAAACTTTGGGCCTTCTATACATTGTGATTAGCCAAAAGCAAGACCTGATGTTACTCAGCCTTGAGAGAAATTATTCATTTCTGCATTTCTCTTTCAAGCAACAGAGTGAGAATCCCCAGATTCTGTTTCCAGTTGCACATTTTCCTTTTACACTCTATTTGGATAGCAAATTAGTATTGCCACCTGCCATTAAAGCTGGTACACGAAATGACAATGATTTGGGGATCTGAAAATCACATGCGAACACCGCTAAATTTAACAGTGGGTGGTCTCCTCTCAGCTCTATCCAATTTGGAATTGATCTGTTAAAAATGGATTAATTTAAGGGGACATCCACTGGACAGCTGAAATTAATTGGTGTTGTTTTTCTTTTAATAGATCTGTTCCAAGCCAGCGAGGCACGTGCATCCTGATAGATTCCAGATGACATAATTGAGAAGATGGTGAGGACTAGATGCTTCTGAACCTGTCCTGTCTGAACCTCCCTTTGCAGATTTGGCCCTCCCTGTTGCATTGCCACCCAAGGGCAAGGGTGTGTGGAGAGAATACCCCAAGTTCTTGAATTAAGGGTGTGATACATATATTACACAGGTGGTGCTGTGGGTTAAACCGCAGAGCCTAGGACTTGCTGATCAGAAGGTTGGCGGCTCAAATCCACATGACGGGGTGAGCTCCCATTGCTCGGTCCCTGCTCCTGCCAACCTAGCAGTTCAAAAGCATGTCAAAGTGCAAGTAGATAAATAGGTACCACTCCGGCGGGAAGGTAAACGGCGTTTCTGTGCGCTGCTCTGGTTCGCCAGAAGCGGCTTAGTCATGCTGGCCACATGACCTGGAAGCTGTACGCCGGCTCCCTCGGCCAATAAAGCGAGATGAGCGCCACAACCCCAGAGTCGGCCACGACTGGACCTAATGGTCAGGGGTCCCTTTACCTTTATATATATTACCTTAAAGGGATTACCTCGAAGCCTCAAACACTAGGACTTTGTCTTTCCCATAGCAGTTGCTGTTTCCTTCTTCCTCAGTGACCCTACACTATTCCTTCTCAAACATAAAGATCCCACAGACTGGACAGCTGCTATTGTTGCTACAACTGTCACTTTCCTTCCCAGATTCTGTTTTCTGCCCCTGAGAGCAGAGATCAGAGAAGGGCCATAGCTCAATGGTAGACCATCTGCTTTACCTGCAGAAAGTCTTAGGTTCAACCCCCAGCATCTCCACGTAGGGCTGGGCATGTCCCTTGTCTGAAACCTTGGAGCCATTGTCATTCAGTGAAAAGTGACAGAATGAATTGTTGATAGCAACAATCACAGATAACAATGGCTCTCAAAGTGAACCATTCACAGTAGGATCAGGTGTTTAACAGGGTTGTGTTATCGCCCTATTTATTATTTTCATTGCCATGATCCTACACATTGTCAAAGGGAAACACCCCATTGGGGTAGAAATCATATACTGAACAGATAGAAAGCTCTTTAACTTGAGTAGGCTGAAAGCAAAGAGTAAGGTTACCATAACTTCCATCATGGAGCTTCAATATGCTGATGACAATGTAGTGTGTACACAGAGGATGACCTACAAACCTTCCTAAATATCTTCGCAGAAGCTTACGAAAAGCTTGGCCTGTCACTCAACATCCAAAAAACCAAAGTGCTGCACCAACATGCACAAAACAACCCCTCTGCAGCACCACAAATCCAACTCAATGGTGTAACATTCTAAAGTGTCTTTCACTTCTCCTACCTGGGCAGTTATCTTTCCACAAGAGAATGTAGAATGACATTGATGCCAAAATCCAGCATTGCCTGAGCTTGGTGAGCGCAGCTTTCTCCCAACTGAAGCACAATGTGTCTGAGGACCGGGACATTCACAGGGAAACCAAAATGCTTGTGTACAAAGCAATTGTGCTATCAACCTTACTGTATGCTTGTGAAACATGGACCACTTATACGCGCCATCTCCAACTCCTCTAAAGATTCCATGAACGGTGTCCCCGGGAAAAAAAATATCACTTGGGAAGACAGGCGAACTAATGTCAGTGTACTCGAAGAAACAAAGATCACTAGTGTCGAAGTAATGATTCTTCAACATCAACTTTGTTGGACTGGTGATGTTGTTCGGATGCCTGTTTATCGTCTTCCAAAGCTACTATTCCGAACTTAAAAATGGAAAGTGTAATGCTGGCGGTCAACAAAAGAGGTTTAAAGACTAACTCAGGGCAAATCTTTAAAAATGTAGTATAAATAGCGACAATTGGGAAACACTGGCCTCCAAGCATTCCAATTGGAGAACAGCCTTCACCAAAGGTGTCATGGACTTTGAAGACACTCAAACTCAGAACTAAAAGGATAAACATGCTAAGAGTTTAACGTGCTAAGAGGGTATGCTTGGCAAACCCTCACCATGATCAACTCCCACCCAGACTCCCTATTTACACACATTTCACTTGTGGCGGGGGGGCAGAACACAGCCCCCACATAACTGGGGAGTTGCCTGCACATTCTTAAGCCATAGGGCACTATCCAGCTAACAAGTTCTGTCAGTCCAAGAATCTCCACTTGTCCACTCGAACACTTCCCCTCCTCCCCATGTGCCCCTTGCAGCTTCCCTAAATCTGCTCTGTAGGATTGAAGGAAGCCTCAAAATAGATTTAAGGATTTGAGGGGAAGAAAGCAGAGGAAGTTCCATTGTAATTAAGTTCCATTTTTAAGTTCCATTGTGCAAGCAGAAATCCTTGTGCTGACAGAGTGTGTTTCTTGGTGCTAGATTGGATGCAGCCCATACTTTGGACCACCATCACCACCGCCACCATGTAACCCACCCACCTTTGTTCCAGTGACATCCTTTGCTTGAATTCAGTGAGCATTCATTTCTCCTGTCCCACATGACATCAAATCTCAGTAATGCTTCTCTTTTGTGTTTTCCGCCCTCCCTTCTTACTTGAAGCTTTGAGAGTTCAAGCAACCCTCCTTCCGTTTATAAAGCTGGCTCTTCAAACTAGAGCTTGGCACTCCTGATCAGTTTGGATCTACTGCAAAAGAGTTAACATCGCTGCTTGCATGTCAGCCAAGGCCCTGCCCCACTTCGTAGTATTTATTTCTCTTGGAATTAGTTTTTAGAGCAGCGGCAGCAGCAACAGCAGATCCAAGCAGATGCTGCTGCTTCAACTCACAGCCTTAGATAATAAAGACTTGCTTTGTTATGTTGTAAATGAAATCTTAAAAGGTTTGCAATACAATGTTCAAAAATAGAGAAAAGGGGGGAAAGGAGCATCTATTCACCAAGCTCCTGTGCATCAAACTAGTTTTATTATATAATTGCCATCCTGCCAATCTTAACAGCTCAAGGCAGTGTTTACACTTATTAAAGAAGGCGAGCTGGGAATGAAACCCTGTGTCTTAGAACAGCTTACCTAAAAATATGCTCCTCAAATAAACATTCTAGGATGCTGAGAGATCCTTAATTTCAGGTAAGGCATACTTTATCTACCATTTTTATTATTTGTACTCTTTCCCAGCCCAAGGGCCACATTTCCTCATGGGCAAGCTTTCAGGGGCTGCATAGTACAGTGGTACCTCAGGTTACATACGCTTCAGGTTACATAAGCTTCAGGTTACAGACTCCGCTAACCCAGAAATAGTACCTCAGGTTACAAACTTTGCTTCAGGATGAGAACAGAAATCGTGCAGCGGCAGCGCAGTGGCAGCAGGAGGCCCCATTAGCTAAAGTGGTGCTTCAGGTTAAGAACAGTTTCAAGTTAAGAACAGACCTCCGGAACGAATTAAATACTTAACCTGAGGTACCACTGTATAGAATTGAATGGGACTCCCAGAGTCATCTATTCCAACCCCCTGCGATGCAGGAATCTTAACAGCACTGTATTCAAAACACAACGATCAACGTTATTAGTCACTGAACAAAACTGAGTGCTTAATAATACAGAACACAGTGCGGGTCACACAACCAAGGTGGAACAGATGTTATCAATTTCTATGGTTGCATGATTTAAGTATTTCATTTCCATGAAAATAACAGAGGATTCCTTTAATGCAGGCTTCCTCAAACTCGGCCCTCCAGATGTTTTTGGCCTACAACTCCCATGATCCCTAGCTAGCAGGACCAGTAGTCAGTGATGATGGGAATTGTAGTTTCAAAAACATCTGTAGGGCTGAGTTTGAGGAAGCCTGCTTTAATGGAAGCCATTTAAAAGGAAGAAGTTAGATTTGGGATTTTTTAGCTGCTGGAGCAGCGTGGTCCATGTAACCAGAAGTAATAGGAAGTCCAAGCTTGTGAGCAGCCTGAAGTCAGAAAAATTCATAAAGTCTTGTTCCAGCCTTTGCTTCACTTGTATTGTGTGGGTTAAATACTCAAAGTAGTTTGAAAGCATCCATTCAAGGATCTGAAAAGGAACAAAGGCAAGAGCAGGTGGGGCCAGAGGCAAAAGTAAGCCAAATATGAGAGCCAGTGTGGTGTAGTGGTTAAGAGCAGTAGACTCGTAATCTGCTGAACTGGGTTCGCGTCTCCGCTCCTCCACATGCAGCTGCTGGGTGACCTTGGGCCAGTCACACTTCTTTGAAGTCTCTCAGCCCCACTCACCTCACAGAGTGTTTGTTGTGGGGGAGGAAGGGAAAGGAGAAAGTTAGCCGGCTTTGAGACTCCTTCGGGTAGTGATAAAGCAGGATATCAAATCCAAACTCTTCTTCTTCTTCTTCTTAACTTTGCAGGGTAGACTATACTTCACACACACACAAGTCAGAGGTTTCTACACCCCGACACAGCTCTCTGTCCTCCATCCAGGCAAGCACAAGTCATTAGCTCAATTCAGAGACACATTCCAGCCAGGTAACAGTATGTGCGGAGCCAGGCTGCTGACGGACAGGGTTGGGAGGGAGTTCCAAAGGCCAGACAGCTGCACATAGCCTCTGGGCCTGAGTCTCCCCACCCCCCAATTGAACAGCAAACAATATATATGCCACTTGGTAGAGCACCATATACAAGTGAGTCCCATAGCCAAAGTGCTCACTATCTATACGTGCCATGCACACAGAAGTAATTAAAAAGAAACATTTTTCTTTCATGGTTTCAATACTAGAGTGATGTACAGTGGTACCTCTGGTTACGTACTTCATTTGTTCCGGAGGTCCGTTCTTAACCTGAAACTGTTCTTAACCTGAAGCACCACTTTAGCTAATGGGGCCTCCCACTGCCGCCGCGCCGCTGCCTCACAATTTCTGTTCTCATCCTGAAGCAAAGTTCTTTACCTGAGGTACTATTTCTGGGTTAGCGGAGTCTGTAACCTGAAGCGTATATAACCTGAAGCGTATGTAACCCGAGGTACCACTGTAATGCTTTTAGACTCTGTTAAGATGTGTCTATACTGTAGTTTATTCTAGGAACTTTTAAACTAGCATACAAAATCCAGAGACTAGGAAGCTAAACTAAATATTTCTTTGAACATACACCTACAACCAAGAGATCCCTTTGGCCCCACAAGCTTCTAATATTATGAACACTCATACTTCCTGCATTCCATTCATTAAGCTCTCCACAGAGAATTTCACCGTTTCTTCATTGTGATTTCTGTGCCTTTTTTGCTTAAGAGACACAGAATGGATTTTAAGAAAACATGGAATGGCATTTTGAGTAAAAGTCATTTTTGCAGTTCACTGAACTCATGTCTACAGTGGAAACAGATTTGTGTTTCGCTTTACGTTTCCTCAACACTTCCAAAAAAATGATGTCCAATACTCCAATCCAAATTTATCTTGTTAAGTCAATTTCTGCCAATTAGTGAAGGACCATTTCCTTCTGTAACAATGAACAGTGACAGCAAACTGCTACCTTTGCATTCTGCCTTCATCTGCAAACATCCCAAGACCTTCATCCTGCATCTTCTTGACTATAATTTTCAATATTACATCAATTTCTGTTAACGTAACATCAGCAACTTTTCCTTCCCAAAATTGCAGGGACTGCTGCCGCTGGGGCAATTTCCATTTCAGTATGGAACTACTTTAAGGGGGATTTGGTTGTGATCAATATATTTAGGTTCCTAATTTTGAATCATTTGCCTGTGTGGCTTTAATCTGCAGCAGGATGCTGTTGTTTGTTGCTATAATATTGCTGCATGCCACCCCAATCTCTGAGCAGTGCAAGATTCCAGGAGTCCTAGGCGATTACCCAGGGTTCATGTTTCCTTCTTGGACTCAGGCACAGTGGAGACTGAGGTGTCTTTATGACATAGGATTTATTTACACATCTACACAACCTGAGCCGGCAATGGAGGGGTTCACAGCATCAGCACCCCAAAAAGGTCTTCTTTCTCCCATAGCCACAGCCTTGGAGTCAAACAGAAATCAAACATTGCCCTCAGCCATTGCTCTGACTCTCTCTCCAGATTGCTGCTTTACTATTAGGTCACATCACTCCTAAACTCTCAACTCTGGATTTTTTGTCCTTCTTACCAGGTACGTGCAGAGAGGGCAGGGATAGGCGGGTACACTTGCCATGGGCCTTGGAGGGCTAAGCCAGCAGGGCTCCTGCCAGAGACAAGCTGCTTTCCCCCCCTTTAGTTTATACCTTTTAGTTTATAACAAGCTCTACATGCGAGTTGAGGAAGGAGCCCCACCCATTGGCCATCTCCCACAGACCCCCTTCCTTTGTTCTCCTGACACCTCACCAGGAGGCTAGTCTGTCTATTCCAAGAATTAGAAGCCTTGATTAGATTTTAGCACTTGCTGGATCCAGGTATTAGAAGGGTCTGGCATACAATTTAACTAACACACACAAACGCACGCAAAAAAACTCATAGCACTGCCAAACATTGCCGCACTCCATAAACAAACACATTCAATGTACTGATGAAAGTACTGGGATTCTCCATTCTCGGCACTTAGCCTCCCAACCTCCGTGGAGATCAGGAAATCCTGCTGCGCTTATATAACACAGCAGAACACTGATGAAAAGGTTTCAGAAGGGCAGTAAAGGGATGGGAAGCAGAGGAGCCAGATATGGGAAGGAAAACACTTTATTCAAAGCCTCCTTGGCAAAAGGAGCTGAGGGAGAAAAATGTATTTTTATATCTCCTGCCAGCTTTTGGCAGCGGAGAAATCTCTTTATGAGGTCTGAAGTTTAAGGTGTGTGCTAATGTAAGGATTATTCCCTCCCCAATCAAGCGTGTGTACATATAAATAGAAGACAGGGCCCTGCTCCATTTTCCATGCAGTACAGGCACGCAGGTCGACTCACCAGGGCTGCCCTCCATGCTCATGTGGGGGCTGTATTACAGACAGCTTCTGCAGTGGGGACAACAACTATGCCTGAAATTGGTCCTCAGGAGAAATTATGGGGCTCACCATGTCAGGGACAAAGCCAGCATCTCTTGCTTCCCTCTGCCATAAAACACAGTACAGTCTAGCATTTTTCGAATAGTGGGGTTTTAGGCACACTGAACTGTATCCAGGCTCTGCCTGCCTTGGAAGAGCTGAGTGTCTCTCCCTCCTTCAGTGAGCTGAAGAATGCCATCAACTCTCAGGAATGTGGTAAAGCCCCAGGACAGGATGGAATCCCAACAGAAGTTATGAAAGCTGGCTTCAATTCTTCTCTCGTGACACACCTCCACTGCCTCCTCTTGCAGTGTTGGGAAAAAGGATCCATGCCACAAGACATGCATGACGCCAGGATTGTGACCCTCTACAAGGACAAAGGTGACCTCCAAGACTGCAACAACTACCGTGCGATCTCCCCGCCGAATACCGTGGGGAAAGCTTTCACAACAGCAGCACCTGCTGTGGTTGTAGAGACCGATATGGAAGAGACATGCTTTGTTGCAGATGAGGCAGATGAAGGCGTCTGGTTGTCCTGCTGCAAATGCACCAGGGTGTTTCTTCTCTCTGCACTGCTCCATTGTCCACCAAGGCAGACAGATGACAACCATTGTGTCCAGTGGTGGCCTGGCACTGGCATAATACACTTCCTTTCAGGGCATCCCAATTTCCCTTGCATCTCCTGAAAAGCAACTCCTGAGTGATGGGAACAGTATGGGATATGGCACAAAGGGCTACAGTAGGATGTAGAGATGTGAAGGCCCAGGGGAGAAATGAGCAGGAAGCAGGTTCCCCACCCCACAAAAAAATCCATTTCCCCCGCCACCTGGCCTTCATGTGTCTAGTAAGGCTTTCAGGTCTCTAGTATGTTCAGACTTGCACAAGTAGAAGTGCTTTCCAATAGTGCAAAGTCACCACTGCATACAACCCATTCTTCCCAGTATCAAACTGAGGTGTCATAGTTGCACACAGAGCTCTTACCTTCTCCAAAATGTGTGAGCCACTAACCCTCATCCTGAACTACACATTCAATTGTCATCCTCAAAGTGCTTCTCAAGGGTGAAAGACGGGGTTTTAATGCCTTTAAATAAACAAGTGTCTCTCCTTGGGGTAATTGTCTTCTAGCCACCCCACCCTACCAGAACATGGCTCCCTCCTGCACAACATCAAGAGCCCAGAGCCCACATGGGAGTTGATCATGTTACAACTCATTCTCCAGTAATGGTTGGGAAATTTACCTTCTGATAAATGGGGCGATGTGGGCATGGTCCAATACCTGATCTTCATGGTATGGGAAGAATCCTTGTTGCAGCAACTCCCTTGCTGCCAACATGACATGGGACAGGGGAAGCTTGCTGCTGTCTCATTTACCTTACAGCAGAAGGTGGAAAGCAATTCTTGCTGCTCCAAGGAGAATGCCTATTTGATCTGAAGCCCCTCTCCAGTATCCTGTAAGCCTGGCAGTAATATGGTTTGCCACCAAAGCTCCTTCTAATCACAAAAAGAATCCCCAGCAAGATGAGCAGACAGCAAGCCAACTGTCCTCATCTCTCTGTTTTCATGGGAACCTAAGTGCTCAGCGCTGCACCCTCAGTTTACAGCCACTGATAGCTCAACATCAGCAAGCCGGCACAACACTCCATAAATCAGGGGTACCTCAACATGGTGCCCTCCAAACACTGTCGGACTGCAGTTCCAGTCATCCCTAAACATTTGATCATACTACCTGAGGCTGATAGGAAGCGGCATCCAACATCTGCCTACCCCTGCCTTAAAGAACGATCCAAATACAGGAAACAGCTAGGATTCTCCACTGTACCCGTGAAACTTTGGACCATGTGAAAAAAGGGGCACAAGCTCCATCACTGAAGACTGCCATCCTATCTACCTGCCAGCCTGTTGAAGCAGAGGTGGATTTAGGGTAGTTCCCCAGCACAGGGCACAAAGCCAACGGGGTGCAATATTATTACTATTATTATCATCATCATTATTACCACCTATATTTATGCAGGTACCTACTCAAAGTTAAGGTAAAAAAGGTAAAAAGGTAAAGGACCACTGAATGGTTAAGTCTAGTCAAAGGCAACTATGGGGTGCGGCGCTCATCTTGCTTTTCAGGCCAAGGGAGCCAGCGTTTAGGCCCCGGTCAGACAGGCAATTGAATTGCAGCAACTATGACATAGTGCCCTTGAGCGCATGCACAAAGCAAAAGGTGAGAGAGGGGAGGGCAACAAATTTTGTCCTCGCTAAGGGTGCCATATTACCCCAGTCTGCCCCTGGCTGCAGCTTTCTTGACCCAAAAGTCTGCCTACATTCACTGTGTCTTTTCCCTAAGGTACGACATTGGGCCTCTCCTGAGTTGAGATTCCAACACTTGGAGGAGTAGAGTCATAGATGGAACATATGAGGGGGTTCCTAATACATTATTAAAGAGAAGGCTGAAAGTAATTTAATACTGTCTTTAATGAAAACCCATTAGTTTGAGTATGTTTTTATTTCTCTGGCAATAGGCATAAGTGCGTTTTCAAGTACACATAAAAGTTGATTTGAAAATTAGACTAGCTTTAAATAAAACATCCGCTCCTAATCACAATCAAATTGCATAATCCAGCAGTATATTCCAGTGACCAAAATGAATGTGGAGAAGAATGGCAGCCCTGCAAACACCAGCTTGAATACCCCAGGAGACAGAATCACAGAATTATAGAGTAGGAAGGGACCACAAGGGGCATCTAGTCCAAACCCCTGGAATGCAGGAATCATTTGCCCAACATGGGGCTCAAACCCACGACACTGAGATTAAGAGTATCATGCTCTACTGACTGAGCATGGAAGGACAACTCTGGATTCAATCTCCAGAATGTTCAAAGTGCTCTTTGGCCACTGGCCCAGGCGCATCTAAACTAATCCTCTTTGCTCTCACAAACGGCAGTTCTCTATGATCTTACGCAGGGGATCTTCCTCGGCTTTTGCTCTTTTAGATCCTGTTTCACTGGTGATGCCAGGAATTGAACCTGGGATCTTCTGCATGCAAAGCATGTGCTTTGTTGCTGAGCTTCGGTAAGTAAATTAAATAAATAAATAAATAAACAAATAAATAAATAATACCTCATCCATCTGACTGGGTTGCCCTCTGGGCAGCTTCCAACATAGTATAAAACAACTATGCATCAAATATTAAAAACTTCCCTAAACAGGGCAGCCTTCAGATGTCTTCTAAAAGATGTTTATTTCCTTGACATCTTGATGGGCACCACTGCCGAGAAGGCCCTCTGCCTCGTTCCCTTCACTTCTTGAAGTGAGGGAACTCCCCAAAGGCCCTCAGAACTGGACCTCAGTGTCTGAGCTCAACCCTTCAAATATTGCCCCAACCTTCTTTCTTGACATCCCTTCTTTCCCACTGCCATGCACCCTTCAAAGTTCTGACATGGTCTTGCAATTACAGTACTTCCCTGTCTTCTCCTAGAAAGGATTTCTTGGCCCTGAAAGCAAAAGAACAGAATGACTAAACTATACAGGTTGCCACTGCTTCTCCAGAGAGGATGTTTTTACTTTGGTTTTTGGTCCGTTTTGTACTGTGTGGTCTATAACCACCATCACATCCCGCGACTTCGTTGACAGTTCCTTGAAACAATATAATTATGATGCACATGCATGCTTGTGCAGAAGTGTTATTTGTGGGAGTTTAAATCCAGAAGCATGCAAATTAAGTTCAAGGTGAGTCAAACAGGAGTCAGCACCGAAGACTGACATGGCTGCCTATTGGAAGGTGGCCTTTTAGTGACTGGTGCACTTAGCAGGCCTCCAGAATTCAATAAAAGCATTCACTGAAGAATATGATGGACAGGCGCTCCCCCTGCTGGCCAGAGTATGGGCAGCATGTCCAACTCCACGTCCACGTGTGCCGCCTACCTGTGGACAGCAAAGCACTTTGAAAGCATAGCAGCAGAGCACATCAGGCACCAAAGAAGGACTCAGGAGGCTTGCAGAAGCTGTCTCCAGACCAGGTGCTCAAACCCAGTGGTGCAACAGGTCTGTTGTTCACCTACTTCATGCATGAGGTGGTGGCAGTGGCATCAGGGGAACTGCAACAGGTGCAGAACAAAAACCCACTTTTCAATGCAAAGTCAAAAAACTTGATGCAGCTGGAGCTGGTGGAACTACAGCAGTGTGAAAGTGGAAGGAATGAGTGATGCAAACCAGGCGATTTGTATCATCACCACCTGTGCATTTTCTGGTCTTTGCCTCAGAACTAGACTTGCAAGACCAAGAGCAATTTCCACGAGGTCGGGACATCTGTGTCTGAGCTGTACCACTTCAGATAACAAATGAAGATTCATGGGTTTGCATACTCCTCTCCACAGAAAACAAGCATGCCAAGGAGAAGGGTGGCACTAGAACCCTTATTTTTGGCATGATAGTTTTGTACGCAAAGGGGAAGAGATTTAATGTTCCTACAGAAGAGCAATGGCAATTGTGTGAACTCCCACTTGCTGCTTGATGTTGTGCAGTCGAGACACCAGTGTGCCAAGGACTTGCCCTAAGCCCTACAAGTCTCCCAATCTATTGCTCTTTTGGTAGCTTTCCTTCCATAGTTTTAAGTATTATTAGAATGGCATCAACTTCTGCTCTGGGTTCCTCCTCCTCTGCTCCAGCTATTGATTCCCTTCATAACTCATTTCAAATGTGATTTTGATATGATCTCTGCAGAGCAACACATACAGTAACTAAAACGAAAATCTCCACTATGCTAATTTTCTGCTTGGGAGAAACATAAATCTGCAAGAATCTTCAATAAAAGGAAGACTAAAGCAGGTTTTTTTCTGGATCCTGAATAGTTCATTCTAATTAAACTTTGCTAAATGTTACATTGTACTCGTAAGCACTCTCACACCCCTGGATCTCGGAGCAAAGATGGAGGCTTTCCTGATGTGGCTCCCATGAATCACAGCCCGCATGGCCAATGGTCCCATCAATGGATGACAGGAGCCGAAGTCCAGCAATACTCAGAGGATCCTGCTGGGTACATGACCTGCTTCAAGACTCCAGTTCTATATACTCCCAGCACAATCATCATTATAATAAGATTTCTGCCAGTCACCACTTGAGCAAATGGGAGTTTTCTCTTGCAGCTCTCCAGTGCACAGCTTCATAGGTCCCTCTTGTGAAACATGATCCATCACGAGTGCCGAGTGCTGCCGAATGCAGACAAATGTCAAATGCAGACATGCAATTCCACAGGCAGTCGAGTGACTGGATCTCTGCTTTTAATAACCGCTGTGCTGTTTTGCATTGGGACAGAGGAGCACTTTACAAAACAGATACATCACTGCAGCTACCTTGAGACAGTGGCTGGGGAGGAGTGGTGGCCTGGGTGAGACAAACATTGAGAGAGAAATTTAAACAGGAACATTTAAAACCTGGAGAAGAGACAATTAAGAGGCAGCAGCCGTCGTCTAGTATTTGAAGAGCTGCCACATAGGCGATGGAGCAAAGTTGTTCTCCTTTGCTCCAGTCAGCAGGACCAAGAGGGGTCCAAATAACAAAGAAGGGGTTGGGGGATCTGGAAGAAACCTTAGGAAGGGCTTTCTGGTGTTACTAGCAGTTGGGGAAGGGTTGTAGCTCAATGGCAAAGCATCTGCTTTGCATGCAGAAGGTCCCAGGTTCAATCCCCAGCGTCTCCAGGTATGGTTGCGAGAGAACCCTGCCTCAAATCTACAAGAGCAGCTGGCCAGCAGTGTGAACAATGCTAAGAAAGGACTAACATTCTAACTCAGTGAAAGGCAGCTTCCTATATTCCAGTTCGACACTGACACAGACTGTTTCACAAGATGCTGGGGTTTCCTCTTTAGCTGCTTTTGAACAGAAGCCAGGTGGTCACCTATCAAGGACACAGTAGCAGGGGATTTCCTACACTGGCAGGAGGTTAGACTAGAGGTCCTTTGAGATCCCAATTCTATTAAAGTTCAGCATTGCTTTCTGATGTCATCTTTAGAAACTAGGCACTGTGTGTGCAGCGATTGCCATTTGCGCATGTGCAGAAGCAGCGATCACCATTCACACATGCGCAGAAGCGGGCAATCGTCGCTCACGCCTACGTACAACAGCACCTCTCCCAGTGACCCGTTTCAATTTCTGGACGGGCCTCCGGAAAAGATTGTGGTTGTGAGTAGAGGTTCCACTGTATTGTTCGGCTAGTCAGGAATTACTGGCAAAAGGTTCGACAAACCACAAGCCATTCAACAAAACAAGTAAACAAGCCACAACTTGCTTCGTCAAAATTTGGTTGGTTTTCCAGCTGCTCTTGCCTTGCATCTTTGTAGCTTGGCAAATGTTTGTGGTGGGCTGGCAGAACAGAATTGTTCAATTTAGACATAAGAAACCATGGTTAGTCGGCTGAGCCTGCTTCACGTGTCCAAACAAACCATAGTTTGGCTAAACGGACTACAGAAGACCAGTTTGCACACGTTTAAGGTACATGTAACCAGGCACATGTGCGCCATGTTCAGACCTGGGAGAGGGCGTAACGGAGGCATAACGGGACGGGCTTACATGTGCTCGGCCATCACATGTGATGACCCAGAATGCAACCCCAAACAAATCAGGTGTTGCCTGTATAGCTTAGTCCTTTGTGCGATTCAGGCCTATTCTACCACAAACTTGACATGAGCCAACAGTGTGACGCGGCAGCTAAAAAAGCCAATGCAATTCTGGGCTGCATCACTAGGAGTATAGCATCTATATCAAGGGAAGTAATAGTGCCACTGTATTCTGCTCTGGTCAGACCTCACCTGGAGTACTGTGTCCAGTTCTGGGCACCACAGTTCAAGGAGGACACTGACAAACTGGAACGTGTCCAGAGGAGGGCAACCAAAATGGTCAAAGGCCTGGAAACGATGCCTTATGAGGAATGGCTAAGGGAGCTGGGCATGTTTAGCCTGGAGAAGAGGAGGTTAAGGGGTGATATGATAGCCGTGTTCAAATATATAAAAGGATGTCACATAGAGGAGGAGAAAGGTTGTTTTCTGCTGCTCCAGAGAAGCGGACACGGAGCAATGGATCCAAACTACAAGAAAGAAGATTCCACCTAAACATTAGGAAGAACTTCCTGACAGTAAGAGCTGTTTGACAGTGGAATTTGCTGCCAAGGAGTGTGGTGGAGTCTCCTTCTTTGGAGGTTTTTAAGCAGAGGCTTGACAACCATATGTCAGGAGTGCTCTGATGGTGTTTCCTGCTTGGCAGGGGGTTGGACTCGATGGCCCTTGTGGTCTCTTCCAACTCGATGATTCTATACAGGAAAATTGCACACGCGCGGGGGGGGGGTGTCTTAGCAGCAGCCAATGAGACTCACCTAAATTCCTTCCCAATTTCATCTATGGTGATTTTGTATAGCCCAAGGATAAATGCAAACTCCATTCTCAGACCATCATTCTAACATCCCATTCTGATGATATGTAGGTAAGGGAGAAATACTTTGTCCAAAAGATCACTGCTAACATGTCACATTAAAACTCATACAAAATCCACAGATTTCTCTAACTTGGTTTTCTAGTTATTGAAGCTCCTGGCTCAAGGCAGACCTTCTCAGAAGTTTAAGCTCTATCCCAAATTTGTTCTTACTCCCATATTATAATTCCAACTACTTCCCTAGGATCTTTTTTTCTATTTTATTCTTTTTATGCATTTTTGCTTCATCAGTGGTTATTTGAAGGCAACTTATCTCACAAGCAGTAATCTTCTGTCACCATTTATTCAGTTCCCAAATTGGATTCTAGTAATATCACACTGATATGACAACTGAGTTTATTCATCTTCAGCATGTTTAATAATATGCTTCG